CATTTCAAAAGGTTAATTTGTATTGCAAGAACTTAACAATACGAAATTAAGAATAGCAATTTGAGAAATTGTACGCATTATACAAAGTTTTTTAAATGGAAGATTGGAAAATTTTGACATTAATGAGTCCTTAAATGTAATATCTCATTTTCAATTTAAAACCTTTTAAGTCATAGGTTTATGGATATTTATACTTACCTATCGTTTCATTTTACAAGTTTTTATCTAATATAATTTTTTTTAACTTATCTTGAATTTTATGAGTCATTATCAAAATAAACTATTGACTCTGATATAATTGTTAATTTTTACGAGATAAACGCTGGATATATTTACTATTAATGAATTATGAACAAATTTATATAAAAGATTTTGTCACTATTTTTAATTCAAAGTTTTAAGAAAATAAATTTATAATTTTTTTTAACTTGTATATTATTCTTCTTAGTAATTTTTACTTGATATGAAATTTTTAATTAACATCTAACACAAATAATTTTACAATCATAAAGTATCAACTATAAAGTGGATGTAATGCATAGTGATTTTTTCTCTTAGTTTTATAAAAAAATTCTTAAAGAAAAGTAACACAATTAATGATTAGTTAACAGTATGTTTAACACCGTAAGTTCGTTTTGTTAACACTAAATAAATATAAATAATCATATTTTACATAAACAATTAAAACTAAAATGTATTAAAGAAAATATAGAGGAGAAGTGACACGGTCAGTAAATGATTTCTAAATTAAAAAAATTGATTTAATAATTTTAATTCAAATGTGTTGAATTTTTTTAACATGTCAAACACGATTTTAAGTTAATTTTTAGTTTTTAGTTGTATATACGATTTTAAGCTAATTTTTATATGTATATATTTTAATTCAAAATGTTAGTTTAAAATATTCTTAAGTAAATTATATTTATTAATTTTTTAAATTCAGAGATCAATGTATATTAATATGAAACAAATTTTAGTTTTATGTTTAAATTTAGAAATTATAAATTTATTTAACCCTAAAATAGTTATTTAAATTTATCAAAACATGAAATTATTGAATTGAAAGATTATTAAGATAAGAATTAAATATGTTTTCAGTCCCTAAATTATTAGCCGTCTGGTTTTCGTCCCTCTTCCAAAATAAGGTACAATTTGGTTCTCATTCTTTTCAAAATTTTGGTTTTAGTCCTCGAAAACTAACACCGTTAAAAATGTGGTAGTTTTTGAGGTTAGTTTTCGATGACTAAAACCAAAGTTTCGAGGACTAAATTTCGAAAAGAATGAGGACCAAATTATACCTTATTTTGAAAGAGGGACGAAAATTAGAAACGACCAATAGTTTAGGGACTAAAAATATATGTAACCCTTAAAATAATTAAAAGAAGAAGATATATTTTTTAGATAATGTTTGAATGGATGAGGAAGACACGCATGTTGTGATGCTTGTGTGTTCTTTTGTCTGTAGTTTGGTGTGTTGTTTTGTTTAGCCGTAAAAGACGAGAACTTGGAAGCACGACATCATTGCCATATGGAAGTTCCATTTCAACTGTAGGCCAAACCCACAATTCAAAACACACTAACTTTTCAAGATATAAAAAATGACAAAAGCAAAACTATCATTAAAAAAAGATAAGATTTTTTCCACACCAATCAATTTTTTGCTACATATCACTCACAATTTTGAATGCATCTAAAGCTCTACTTGCTGGACTACATAAATAGATATTTAATAAAATATCTATAATTAATTTATGTTTTTTTTTAATATGTTATATTTTTCCTATGTTGGAGATCATCTTACAAATGCCATTAGTAAAACACAATATACTATTTATGAGCTTAATTATTTGAGTTGTTTGTAAGCTAGTTTAACTGGTACAAAAGAGATTCATAAGTTATTTATATAATTTATTTTACGATTTTATAAATTAAAGTTACTTTAATCGTCTTATGATTATCTTTGATAAAAAAATCAACGAGTTGAAACTATTTGTTTAGCTACTTAAATTAGTTTATTTACGAGCTTTTAGCTTATAAGCTATGAGTTATACTAGTTAATTTATGAATTTATTTATTAACTTGATTGAGTAGCTTGTAAACTAATTTAATTTAATTGGCAGAAATATGAGATACATACTTCATAATTGAAGTATATTCTCGTAAAAAAATAGTTTTTTTTTTGTTGTATTTACATCTATATCATACGATAAATGTAATCTTTTAAGGATTTTTTTTCCACATCATCTTCCATATAAAACTTTAAAGTTTGATGTTTATAAATTATTTTTTCATGTCACTTAACCTTTTTTGTTTTTATACAACGTTGAATTTTCAACTTATAATTGAATTTATAACATAACCATACTGGCTCATTTACTATTCTGTATATTAATTATTATTTTTTATGAAAAAAATATACGATATTATTAAATATTTAATGTCAAAATGGTATACATTTGATTTTTTCTAACTTAAAATATCAATAAATAAATTATAATTATATAAATTTGATATTATAAAATGGAATAAAGGTCATTTTTTATATAAAAAAGTAAAAATAATCAATGTACACATCACCACAAGACGCTTAACCATGGAGTTCTTATGAGTTAGGCTACCGAAAAACAAATGCACTTGGTGATATGAGTAGCCAAATCAAACCTTTAAGCTATCATTCAACTGTATAGTCTCATACCTATACAGTCTCTAGATCCATCTCATTCCGATGTATGTTCGATTCATCCATGTGTCCCTTCCACTGGAAACCTGCCTGGAGTCGCTCATTGTCAGTGTCTTGCACCGGCGATCACTTCTCGTCATCGTCAGTGTTCAGATGTCACAATTAACAAATTAATTATTGAATTAATGAGTAGAGAAGAGTTAATGTAATTTCTTTTATATTACCTAATAAATTATAAGTGTTTTTATAATCTAAAATGGGATGACTACCTAAAATATAGTTGGATATTGAAATGAGAACGATGTGAATATATACCTAATTTAAAAATCAGGTATTATCATACCCATGGCGTTTTACTTGGAAAAAGTTCATACATAGTCCATGAAGTCAAATTCATTTATTATCCTTAACTCATACATTAATTGTACATGCTTTTGATAATAAGGGTGACAGAAAAATAGAATGAGACGGTGAGTTTAACTAGTTTCTTTTTTTTATATGGACAATATTAGTGGTTAATATTTGATGGTGAGGGAACTTTAATTTACAATCTTTTTCACCAGCTTTTTTAACTTAACTGTATGATCTCAATCTTTTAAATAAAAATTAATTTTCATCTTCATTTCTATTTCTATCTATACTTAATGGATATAAGATTTCTGTTTTATCCTTATTTCTATATTCAACGGATGTGAGATTTTATCTCACTTCTTCCTTGTTGAGTAGTATAATCATACATCTTTTGTTTTAAGTATTACTTAAATAATTTTTTATTGAAACAATAATTATGTTAAACAAAATATTAAATGTTAAAAGGATAAACATTTTTTTAGTGTCAAATATAAAAAAAAAGTCAAACAATTATAACAACAAAAAATATCAAATGTATATCCTGAACTTTTCAAAATACCTATTTTAATAAATTAAAATAGAGATGAATATAAAAATATAATGGATATTATATATATATATATATATATATATATATGTTTAATATATACATAAGTAGATATTCAAATAAAAATGATTAATTTAGTTGATTTTTGTGAAATGTTTTAACAAATATTACTAATATATAAAATTTCCACTATGAATGATTTAAAAAAATATCCTGTTTATAAAAGACACATATCCTACAATTATTTTTCACACAATCCATGAATTTAAAGTTAGTAGAGTCACAACTTTAACAATTTTGTCTCGGGTAAGCACTTCAAGTTGTTTTGAAGACCAAACAGACTCCTTTGTGTTCTCCTTCATCCAAGTTACGCTATCTGTTCTCCTTTTTTTGTCAAAGTCGTGTGGAATGGTACCTGTCAAAAACACTCTGACACTCAAGTCAGTAATATAAGTGAACGGTTGACACAACAAATAATTATATATTGTGCATCCTGATCCTAGAGTTGTACTTGGGACCTTTATATATACTAGTTGTAATGAATTTTTACCTTTCACTAGTCTAATGATGATATAATCAGATCTTAATCTGCATTAGGATTTTAATAAATGATCATTGTTTATAATTTAACCATGTAGTTGGCCTAGTGGTCAATTGGTTAGGCTGGATGGTCAACCTGGGTTAGATGGTCGGCCTGAATGGTCGACCTGAATGATCGGTCTGAATGGTCGATCTGGTGGTGTCCAGGAGACCCTAAGGTACACACCAGTGCTATCTTTCTCTTTTTCTTGTATTTTCCATTATTTCAATGCATAGTATAGACAAAACAAAAGAGTTAGATATTTACAATATATTGATAAATATTCTTTAAGAAAAGTTTGAAGTTCAATTATTATATATTGGGTTAGTTGTAATATTTCTTAAATTGAATAAGTTATCGACACATAAGTCCAGAACAGAAGAAGCAACATGTCAAAGACAGTAGCAAAATGGAATCCAATTTCCCGACAGAGTTAAAAGATTAAAAAAGAAAATGGTTGGAATTTAAATTAAAATCAGTAATTTTATAATACAATAATACACGCCAATGTTAGTGATATTAAAATTAAAATGAATACCTTTCTATTTAAGGTAAATACATTTAAAAAATCATTTCTGAAATATTATATATTTATAAAATATACTTGGAAATGTTTAAATCGGCCCATTCTTTTAAATTTAAATCGGCCCAATCTAGTAAAGTGGGCCTCCCCCTGCGAGTTCCTAGTCCAACCCAAGAAAAACTGCAGGCCCGTTTAAAACCGTATCTGGCCGATCCCGAAACAGCATTCTATATAACTATAAAAAACCCTAATTTGGAGCTTCGTCTCTTTTATTTAACACTAGGGTTTACAGCATAGAGTCGCAGCCGAAGCAGAAGCTCGCAGAATTGTAGCGATGGGTAATTTCCAGAAGCATTATTCTCAGTCCATTGTTGTTAATTGATGTGACTGACAACGTTGTTTTTGCAGCGAGGATTAAGGTTTACGAGCTGAGGCAGAAGACGAAAGCTGAACTCTTGAATCAGCTGAAGGACCTCAAGGCCGAGCTAGCCTTGCTTCGTGTTGCTAAGGTCACCGGAGGTGCCTAACAAGCTCTCCAAGATGTAAAATTTCACGTCTTTCTCCGTTTGGTCGTTTGTCATATACTTTTCTATTTTTTGCATGTGAGGTGTTTGTGTTTATGTTTGTTTTTTAATTGCAGAAAAGTGGTCAGGTTGTCGATTGCCCAGGTTTTGACTGTGATTTCTCAGAAGCAAAAGGCTGCGTTGAGAGATGCCTATAAGAACAAAAAGTACTTGCCCCTTGATCTCCGCCCCAAGAAGACCAGGGCTATTCGCAGGAGGCTTACTAAGCATCAGGTAATGCCATTTGTTCTTCCCTTAATGGAACTACTAACTGTACTTTACCAAAAGTATGTAGACTAATGTGAATGTTTTGTTGTTAGTTTTTAATAAATGGATTGCATTGATTTTGATGATCTTGAATTTGTTCTTTTTTAGTCATGCTCATTCCACTTTTGTGTTTATTAGTGTCTACCTGATATAATTTGAATGCCCGTTTTGTGTAATGCCTTGAATGTCTATGTCTTGAGGTGTTTCTCTCGAGCAATTTCTATCTGTGTTCTATTTTTCTAGGACTATTTTTTCCATGGTTGCTTGTGTGCTTAATAATTCTCCTGTATTGCTCAAATTTCAATTATATATCACCAATGCTTTTTTGGAGTGTTTTGTCAGAGGTGAAATGTGGAAGAATCCCTTCCTATGCTGTTCGGCAGTGGGGGCTGTGTTATTTTGCTTCTCGTTTGAAGCAAATGACCTCTTAGTTATTAGAATTTACTGGTTTAATTTTTTATCTAGGCATATTTATACCATCATTTTGTTAGAGAGGAATAGTGTATTGTTGTTGAAGTTTGCCTGTTTGAAATACCCGTGCTAGGATTGTCTGTCTTTCAGAAAGGTTATTGTATCCCCGATTGAAAGTCAGCGACATCTGTACTTGTCTCCGTCAATCTTAACATGCAATTCTAAGTAATTGGACAATTCGATCTGATTCTGTCCTTTTGCAAATGTTATCTGATATGATATTTGCTCCTGAATTTGTTCTTGAAACAAAATTTTAAAATATAAATTACAAATACTTATGATTTTGAGTTTCATTGATATAATTAGCTTTAGACACGAGGAATTATAACCTTGGTTAGGATTTGTATAAAATCTCACACATAAACATAAGCATCAATGGTCTCTAATTTTATCTATAAAATTTATTGGAGAGAAGTGAAGTTAAGTTCGACTATTAGTTGTTCTTACATTGTAGATTAACATGGTTGTGGGAATACCTTATACCTTTTTCTAAGTGTCTTTCCTCTATATTTGGTGGTGATGGACAACAAGTTGTTTTCTCATGAGATTTCTCGTTTCTTATTCATGCAGGCGTCATTGAAGACTGAGAGGGAGAAGAAGAAAGAGACTTATTTCCCAATGAGGAAGTATGCTATCAAGGTGTAATAGTTGAGCAAATCTTATTGATCAATTTGACTTTTACTTCCTTTAATACTTTACCAGTTTTGATACATCTCACATTTGTAGTTTCATGTTGGAGTTACCATTTGTTATTACCTATGTTAAAAATCTTGTGTTTTTCGAAGCTACTCGAATTTATGCGCATAGTTTTATAGTTTTCGTTCAAAATTGATGCATTACATTTTTTGACGTTTCTTTTAATCAGCCTTTACATTCACATGCATTTTGAGAAATGTATGCACAGAGACCATTTGCATTGACCTCCAAGTGCTCTCCAGTAACTCTCCTGTGCTTTATTTTCAAGAATTTTCTGTGGGTATGATCCAAAAGCAAGTTACAGTTTTGGAGAAAGATGATCGCACAACCCTTATTGCACACTTCAGAGACCCTGTAAATTTAATTCATGATGTTTATAATATTTATACGAGTCTGAATATAATTAACTAATACAAATTAGTCTTGTATAGAGCTAAACAATATCGCGTGTTAGACGCTTTTAATTAGGTAAAAAATCACTTTAGAATTTTCAATGCTTACCTATGAAAGTGATTATTTTTAAGTTTTCGAATAGTATTGAAATACTTAGTGCAATTCCGAAACTACTATACTTGGAGTTTGTTGAAATTGAAATTTACAATTCTAGTATTTAAGTGGGTTACATGTAAAGAGCGTCGAAAGTAATTTTACACTTGTAAATTAGTTAAAACATTTTAACAAAGTCCATGGAACTTTAGTACATTTTTGCAAAAATTGTAACTTGGTTTGTCAGTTTCTTATTTTCGTATGAGCTAGTAAGATTTGATTGGTAGTAAAATTGAGCATGGTACAAGATATGCTTAGACCATGAAGAAATAGTAACACAATTGAAAGTGAATGATGTGTACTTAATCCTCATGTTTTCAGGCTCATCTCTATTGAACTGTATGTTCTCAATCCAATCTGCCAATTGTGAAAGTAACTTCCACCGGCTTAGCGTCTCTCTTCTTCATGATTATAGCAATTTCAAAATATTCTTTCTTTTTGTTTCACAGTACAACCCAACCATACACAGATAATTTTTTCCGTATACATTTATATTTATATTTGATACAATCAAATAACTTTGATTACACTTGGCTAAAATTTTCTGTTAAATATTTACAGAATGAGAAAATAAAAAAGGTAAAATGAACTGGATTTCCTATATATCAACTTGTTTTTCGAAAGCAAGTTAAAATTAACTCATTTACTTTTCTTATTTAACAAAGTCTTTATTTAACTTACTTAAAGTTAATAAAGTACGTAAGTCAATTTAGTTCGTATTAGAAGCTGGAATCTTTTTTCCTCCTACAAAATCTTGTGAAAAAGTTTGTCCAAAACCTTTGTGAAAATAAACAGCTTTTGTTCAGCACATTGACTTAGTCAAATAAAATTGAAAAATAATAAATAAAATGTGAACTCCTGAAATGAAAGAAGTGGGCCAAAAGTACAGTGGTCCAGGCATGATCACGGTTGATGGGCCGAGGAATCGGAATAAAGAAGTGTACACAAGACCGAAGACATTAAGCCGCAACCACTATTCCTTCTTCTAATTCTCATTTTGTCGTTATTGATGGTCAAACTTGTTTGCATGTGAACTCTATAACCAACTCTCTTCCTGGTCTAACTTATTTACATGTGAACTTCACAAGGAATTCCTTAAATCCCGGTTCTTTATAATATAAAATGATCAAATTTATAGTATAAATTCATATACATTACCTCGTTTCAGTTAATAAAAGTTGTTCTAAAATTAGTAAAATTAAAATATTAGCCTAATTTTTAAGATGGTAATTCATTATATATTTATAGTAAATTATTTAGCTTATTAAGTTTCGATTTGTGACTACTTTCAGTGCTTTCAACTAGAAACAAAATGCTAATGTATCCATTTCAAACCATCAACTTAAAAAAAAGTGACCTTGTTTTCACGTCTCATACTTAGAGAATAGTCCAAGACTAGGCCTTAAACAATGTAAGTTGAATACGAGTTTAGTTTTCTTGCCTGGTCACCACATCTATATACTTCAAAAATTAAATTATAAATAACGACCTCTAAATTTCAAACTTGAACAAGAATAGCTTCTGACAATGAAAATTATGAATGGGGACCATATAAATACCAAATCGGGAAGTGTCAGAACCACAAAGTTGACTATGTTTACAGAACACAACAATATGTTAGTACAACTCGAATTAAATAAAGGACAAATTAAAGCTTCATTCTTAAATGTGCTTGATGTAATGTGAATGGTTTCCACATAATGTAGAAGGTGTTCTCATCCATAACGGATTGAGTGACTTTTTTTTCAGGAAAAGTCAATTAATTTTAATTTATCTGGTTTCTTTTATATTATTTTTTTTTTTAAAAAAAAATTGAAGTTGATCCTTAACACATGAAAGTTAACTAAAATTACAGTAACTTTTCTTAGAAAAAAGTCACTGGATCCGTCCGACTCATGCAATGAATCTTAATTAGAGACCATACGATCTACTGGCCTAGAAATGGATTGCCAACCTGTACACAATTGGAGGATCTCTCTGAGAGAATGCGCAGCTGCTTCCATCGTCCATGTCGGGTAATATTCACTAGGATGGAACATGGCCACCTCTCTATTTTGTGTAAGCAGGCATGGCTGTGCACCATTCAAAAGCATGTCTCCTTCTGATACTATGATGCCGGACTTTTGCTCTTCCTTATCTGCCGCCTAGGGAGACAATTTTATCACAACCATTAGTAGCCATTGGGCGAGGTTATAATGTGCTGCCCGACATGACTGAAATAAAGAGTAAAAACTAACTCTTTTTGGACATCATCTATGACCGGGACACAAAACAAGATTGAATATTTGAAGAAGCACTCTCACTATTCACATTTCTGGACTTAAACCATAACTGACTGCACTAAATATTCATCACTCAAAATCAGAGATACTGTAATAAAAGCAACGATAGTCTTGTTTGCTAGTTGATGTGTTCAGTTAAAAACCAAAATAGAGTTTCACTTCGTATATAATAATGACATGTGTGAGCTACAGAGATGAAATTTTAATTGTAATTGAAGAACAACACAGAGTGCATCTAAGGAATTGTATTCAATTTATGAATATGATATACTTAATGACCATAAAACAGCAAACTTGAGTGAAGAAATATTTTACCTTCTCAGTATAAAATTCAAAAGTCTTTTTCTTAGCTCCTGCTTCATATATGTTACATTGAGAGTATATCTGTAATATGATTTCACGAAATCAATTACTCTCTCTCAATTCTTGCATAGAACTTAGGACGGAAAGCAAATTTTAAGAAAATCTGCAGATGATAGCAGCAAGTTCACCTGGGATTCCACACTAGCGCAAACAGCATAAACCCCCCAGTTTCTGGTGTAATTGTTGTACAGATGAACTTTTCCAAATCTCACACGTGGTTGTCTTTGCCGCGTTCCATCAAAGAAACAGTGGTGAATGGTCACCCGGATGCATCTATCACCAACGTGAGTCGGGTCAGCTCCAATGAGCATGGTCTTGTCATGCTGCCCAAAGTAACACCTAGATCCACAAAACCAAGTAACCCATCAAATTTGATCAATGGATTCGCCTCCTCTAAATCGAGATACTCTCTCTAAAGGATAAGGTAAGTAATCTCTGTGTATCTGAGAATCCATCAATGATCCATGTCAAAAAACAGACTAAAAGCAAATGCTAACTGTTTTTTCTTTCCAGTGACGAGCCTAAATCGCGTGGAAGAGGATTCAAACACACCTTCGGTCATGGATGAAAAAACAACTGCTGATAGATTATAAATCTTGGATGTGTTGAAAAATAAAAATCAAATATGAATTTCCTTACCAACAACTGAGATTACTATGCTTGGAACATGTGACAACCACTGTTGCAGTTCAATTCAGTAAAAATGAACAACTACTCTCAAAGGATAAGGTAAATAATCACAATGCAAATAGATTTATGTCTAAGTCTATCTACTCCTTCATGTCAAAGCATACCAAACACAACTAATAGTTTCTTCAATGACATGCTTTAGAGTTGTGTGGATGAGGATCCAAACACAGGGTCAGCCATTAGTGAGAAACAAACTATCAATACTAGTGTAACTAATATTAATTATACAAGGAGTAGAACGCCACTTACTCAATTACTTATCAAAACATCATTGACGATGCTTCAGATTTTAATACTATTATTTTATTATAAAAGGGTTTGGTTGTAGATGGAAACGGAATTGTCAAAATATCATTTCTCATGACATGCACATGCATAACAAAGCATACCCACCAATGATATTACATATGCAAATGTATAACAACACATCATCTATTAATCCTCTCATCAACTATTCAGATGACTTACTTTTACATGAGTCAAACCGCTGTTGTAATTCAATTAAAAATGGAGAAAATGAGCCCACCTGGATACAGTGATATCGGTGCTTTGTCTTGTGATGTCTATAAGGCCATCGTCGTAATCACGAAGGGTGCATCGATCGATCCATATATGCCTAGAATTTGGTTTGATTTGAATGCCATCAACATCATGACCCCTACCACCCTCAAACTCAAGGTTGCACACGATGATGTGCTCACATTCCTTCAGCCTCAGACCTTTCCCAGTCAATTTCACCTTATGCCCTCTCCCATCTATTGTCTTATACGACGACACACTCAGGTACGACGACAGATTAATCGTACCAGAAACCTCGAAAACAATCCACAAAGGTTCATTTCTTCGACATCCTTCGCGAAGGGACCCAGGACCATCATCTGAAATCAATCATTCATCCGTCATAAACCACGATTCAGTACTATCTTATTGTCATTCATCACAATTCAATCAATTATTGTTTATTCACATTTTCAGAATTCAATTAAAATGCTGAAAAAAGGAGCATAGGTTACTGTGCCTGCGAGATTGGTGACGATATACAGAGAACCATGGAGGCCGCCGATGGCGTGGCGGCCAAAACCCTCGGCGGACCCGGCCATAGCCCTCAAATTGGAATCGACGTCGCCGTACGGTAGCATCTGAATCCCCGCCATTGAAATTTCACCGTTCAATTCCACCTTTTCACTTCCTCTGCCTCTCTAAATCA